GAGTTGAAGTCCGGACATCTTCAAGTGGCCAAGGTTGAGAAACACTGTCCTAGACACTTCCCCATCTTCAAGTGGCCAAGGTTGAGAAACACTGCATTAGTGGATATTTTGAGTTGTTTGGAGAACCGGCAAATGCCACCTCTGGCTGGCCCCAGAGTGGGGAGGGAAGGGGGATTTTTTTTGCAGGATCCTTCCCCTGCCACGCCCACCAAGCCACGCCCACAGAACCGGTAGTAAAAAAAATTGAATTTCACCACTGCTTAATGCAACTGCTTAACGCAATTTAGGATTGCGTTGGCTTTTTTGGCTGCCACTGGGCACTCTTGACGCAGTCTTACAAACACCTTGTAGGGGAGGTTAAGCCCACCTGCGCTGGGGCAGCCCCCCCCCCTTTGCAGAGAAGTCCGCCAGAGATGGGCACCTGCTCCACTTACCAAGTGGGGGGACGGGCCTTCTTCTTAATTCCCAGGTAGATCTTCAGGTTCTTCACCAGCCATTCTTTCTCCGGCTTATGGCTCTGTACGACAGGAGGAGGGCCGGGTGAACGGCAGGAAAGGGGGCCGCCTCCCCCTACGAAGAAGGGCCAGCTGAGGTGCCCACAGGGGGCGCCACATCCCACCTCCAAAAAACAGGGTGGGCACCTTCAAAATCCGTGCCCACCACTAAAGGTGGACGTTAAAGGTGGACACTGGGGAGGCAGTTTGATGCAATGGTCCCGACTTCCCCGTGGCAAATTAACCGGGTGTCTTTGGGCCAATCACCGGGAGAGGGGGGAGTTCGAGTCCTGCCTTAAGCACAAAAGCCGGGTAGGTGACTTTGGGCCCAGAGGGGGTAGGGGGGCTTGGAAGGTGACCGCCAGCACCTTAAAATGGGCCTGGAAGCCCAATGCAAGAAAGCCGGGTGCAAATCTAGATTTCCCAAAACCCATTTTGGCCCAAGGGAAGCTTCCGGAGACTCTTCAAGGGCAGCAGTCGAACCCAGAGCTGAGTGGGGAGGGGGAGTCGGGGAGGGGGGCGAGTGGGACGTACCCGGACCTCCTTGTAGAGGCGGAGGGAGTGGTTGTTGAGGATGAAGTATCGGTCGTGGAAGCCGGTGCTCAGCCCCACCCCGAGGACGTTCTTCTCCTCCCGGAACTTCATCAGGCCGTGTTTGCTGTCGCCCACCTTGCTGGCTGNTGAAGTCCACAGGACTTAAAGTCACCAAGGTTGGGAAACACTGGTTTAGAGAATTGGCAAATGCCACCTGTGGCTGGCCTCGCCCACATCTGTCCTCTGCTTCCCGAGTCCCAGCTGATGGGGAGGGAACGGGGATTTTGCAATATCCTTTCCCCTGCCACGCCCACCCAGCCACGCCCACAGAACCGGTCGTTTAAAAAAAATATTGAGTTTCACCACTGCCCCAAAATGCTTTTTTTCAAAAGGCAACTGGACTTTCCTTGGGATTTTTTTTCTCTCCTTTCCTTCTCCAGAACTGATGAAGCTTCTTGGAAGGGAAGAGAAGCGTCTTCATTGTGAGAGAAAGAAAAAAAAAGTCCAGTTGTCTTTTGAAAAAGGAGCGCTGGGGACCTATGGAGAATCTCCCTAGACGTTGCAAGGGGGGTCTTCCATGCCACAGGTTGAAGGCGCTGGAGAGGGGAGGAGGGGGCTTCCTTGCAGCCACCCCCCAACTGCAGCAGGAAGCCAAAGGAGATGCCCAGGCTATGCAAACTGGGCAGAAATTGGAGCGAGCTGAAGATTTGAACTTTGCACTGACCGGCCTGCCTTCCAGCAACTCCGTGGGGGGATGGAGGGGTGGGGAAGCTGGTTCCCTGGCCAAAGTCTGTGGGGTCTGAGGCAGGGCAGCCCCCCCTGTGCACTAAGGGGCCTGGCCCCACATCTCAACCCTGCAAACCCCACAAGGGGGGGATTTTCTTTTCCCCTGCAGTCAAATTCGCTTCCGGGCCATCTGGGGCCAGAGGAACCCCTTCCCACCTTCACCTGCCCATCCCGGGCATCTCCAGAAGGCCATTTGGGGGTCACCTGCCTTGTCAGGTGGGCCAGGAGCTGGACAAGAGCTGTGCCATGGAGCAAGGCTGCCCCCTGCTGACCCAGAACAGGAACGGCTTCCTTATCTCTCTGACCATCCAGAGTCTTGGAGGATCTTGGTCTAATCTTTTTTAATCTCTCCTTGTCACCAGAATAATAGAGTTGGAAGGGACCTTGGAGGTCATCTAGTCCAACCCCCAGACCAAGCAGGAGACCCTACACCATTTTTTACAGAGGACAGCCCAGTCTCTTCTTGAAAGTTTCCACGGATGAAGCTCCCACAACTTCTGAAGGCAACTTCTGTTCCACTGAATATAGATGAATAGAGTTGGAAGGGACCTTGGAGGTCATCTAGTCCAACCCCCTGGCCAAGCAGGCTCTATACCGTTTCAGACAAATGGCAGTCCAGTCTCTTCTTGAAAGCCTCCAGGGATGAAGCTCCCACAACTTCCAAAGGCAACTTCTGTTCCGTAGATTGATGGTTCTCACTGTCAGAAAACTCCTCCTTATTTCCAGGTTGAATCTCTCCTTGGTCAGTTTCCATCCATTGATCCTTCTCTAGCCTTCGGGGGCTTTGGAAAATAGCTTGATCCCCCTCCTCTCTATGGCAGCCCCTCCCTCAAATATTGGAAGATGCTCTCCTGTCTCCCCTGGTCCTTCTCTTCCCTAGACTAGCCAGGCCCAGTTCCTGCAACCGTCCATCGTGTGTTTGAGCCTCCAGCCCCCTCATCATAGAGCCGAGGTGGCGCAGTGGTTAAATGCAGCACTGCAGGCTACTTCAGCTGACTGCAGTTCTGCA